CCAGGCCCATACCAAAGGCTTCCCCACCCCCAAATCTGACCCATTCCTGAACTCTGCAGCCTCTTGCAGGGTTCAGGAACAGGTGCCTACTGGAATCTTTGGCACCCACCAGTTAATTCTGAGTCACAGATCCAGGGTGGACTGAGGAGGGCTAAGAAGCCAACATAGGCTTTAGGTGAGAGCGGAGGAAGTTCAGAACTCAGCAGCCACAATGCGGCTCAGACCCCTCCATTCTAGCTTCAAGCCTAGTCTTCAGCCTGCAGAGGAATAACCAGTACAAGAACCCCAGTCCCAAAGGGGGCCTACAGTTCTGTCACTTTTACCCAGCAGAGCTTCCCAGCTGGACGACAGTGGCTGAGTCCCCCAGGAGGCTACTGTGGCTCAGACTAGGCCCAGGTGAGGGACTTGCAGAGCTCAGACCAGGGGGGCAGCAATCGGACTTTGCCCTGGATCAAATCACCGTGGGAGCACTGAAAGGTTACGAGTCCTCAGCCTGAGCTGTTCCTGAGATTCCGAGGTAACACAACATTTACTAGGCCTTCCCTCCAGAAGTGTGCAGACACCAGCCTTGACATCAAGACTGAAGTCAGGAAATAGATTGGAAGAGTGAGCAAACCAAAAAATGATCCCACCCTAAAATACTAGTATGGTCACAGGAACACTGAAGATACAAACTCAAAAGGAGAAAGTGACTGCAACCCATCCAAAGTCTCAAGGAAAAGCAGCTTGGGAACAAACTCAATTAGAAGTCCTGGAAGAAACTGGGAAGAGTTTTGTTTTTTGTTTTTAAATAGGGTCAAAAATACCAAAACAAAACATTGAACTGAGTCTTAAAGGAAGTCGAGGGAGTCAAGAGACAGCGTTTAAGAGGGAGAACATTCCAGGCATAGGAGACAAACAGGGAAAAGTCATGGAATCCGAATAGCATCATGTGGAAAGAAGAAGTAGGCCTGTGTCTCTGGGTAATACAACACATGGAGGGAGGTAAAACGTAAGGAGACTTAGAAAGGCAGGATTTGGCCAGGTTGTGAAGGGCTTTAAAAGTCAACTGGAAGATTTTATATTTGGTCCTGGAGGAAATAAAGAGTTACTATAGATTATTTAGAGAGGTATGACATGATCAGAACTCCACTTCAGGAGAATCACTTTGGCGAGCGAGTGGAGGAAGGTTGAGCCTTGGTCAAGTTACTTTCCTTTTCTGGACCTTAGTTTCTTAATATGTAAATATATGTGTGTGTGTGTGTACACTAATAGGCGAGCTCTAGAGTTGTCCATCTAAATGCCTGTCAACATGTTAGCAATAGAGGCTTTCATCCATTTGACTTTTCCTGTGTGGATAGCTAGGCCAAACTCTTTTGAATGGCTATGGATCTCTCCCAGGAGATTCTCCAGTATTTTAGGGATTGATAGAATTTGAAAGGAGAATTTCATTATCATTAGGGAATCCTCCTTCAACTTGGATTCTCTGCTGGTTCTCCTCCTGTAAAATGGGCTTAATAATTATATTATTTATATATTAAATATTATTATAAAAATAAGTAAAATGGGCACTTAGCTTCTGGGGTTTCAAGATCAAATGAGAAATATTTATAGTGCTTAGCACAGTGCCTAACACATGGTAGGCACTTAATAAATGCTTATTCCCTTCCTTTCTCCCCTTTCCCCATTACAGTGACAAACATCTTTGGTAGGGAAATTCCTCTTTTATGTCACATCTGGCATGTAGGATAAACACTGACCAAGGTTCTGTTGTTACATCTTACAGGTGGCAAGTTTTTAAACAAAGTGAATGTATTTTCCTAATGTAAATAATGACTGGGTTCTCCTCTACGTATCTCAGTAAATTATATAATGGTAAACGTGTGTATATATGTGTACATACACACACACACACACACACTTTCTCTTTTGGACTATCACTTGTGAAAGCCTGCCTTTTTTCTACTAATACTGACTATGATGATTCCTTCAGTGAGTGTGCTGATGTTTCTCATAAAATTTTTTCATAGATGGGGAAAGTAGATATATAGGTCAACAATTGTTGGTGTTCTTGTTTTGTTTTTTTCAGTATTTATAGGGTTTGAATTTTCTTTTTTTCCTCTTTTTGGTATCTTTTTCTCCAGCTATCTTGTGAATCAATTTTTCATCATCTTCACAATTGTGTTACACGTCTTCTCTATCTACACTGGGTCTAATATGGTTGTTTCCATCTTTGTTTTCTTCAGTGCCATTTACACCTCTTCTAAAAGTATATCCAGGACTCCCATTCTAGAATCAAGTGGCTCCACTGTCACTTAATGCTGGATGGTGGAGCTACTTTATTATGAAAAATTTCACAGATCTTTTCCATTTTTTTCCCTGTTTGTTGCCTTCCTCATATTTTGTTCTTAAAATCCCCTTGGTATGATTTTGCTTAGTTGGGTCTCTCATCAAGCTTTCTTTACACTAGTTTTACCTTACATTGCTTCTCTTTACTCTGCAAGATGCTAATCCTTTATAATCATCCATCATCAGTCATCATAAGAGACCTAGGTCGTAATTAGTGCAAATAAGAAGTCTTATGAAGCAGTAGTATTATCCAAATTTGGGCATATTTCCATTGGACTGGAATAAATGACCATTTTATAACTTCGAATAGCGTTTAGTTGAATACATGTAACCAATTCATTAGATTATTCACAGAAGTTGGCCATTACAAATGAATTGATATTCTAAACTATTCTTGCTGTTGACTTCTGTATTTCTCCACTTGACAAATAGATCAAGTGTTTGATTATTGTCTTGTATTCTTCTTGTAAAATCAAATTTACATCAGTTAAAATTCTTCCTTTCACTATAGATTTTATCATAATTTCTTTAAATAGATCAGGGTTATTGTTAAAATTGGATACCACATATTTTCTTATTTTTATTCTTCTTTCTTGCCTTGTGTTCATCTAAATTTTTGCTGTAACAACTTGGTAGTCAGACTGTGTAGACAGCTGATTCAGTAACGACACCATCATAACAATTCATTTCCAGTCTATTAAAATATAATCAATTTCATTTTTGTAATGCTCATCATGTCCAGAGTCTACCAATTTTTTCCCCTTTAAGTATTCAAGACGCAGGCATAAGGCAGCCGTTAGTTTCTCATTCCTTATTTCTGATCATAGGATCACCCATATTTTCCAAAGTATTTCTCACTAGTTTTTTCTATTCTAACTTTTGCATTACTTTCGCCGGATATTGAAGTATATGATTTAAATTGCAAGCTACTGAGTTGATGGAGGTTCTTTTCCTTTTTTGCAAAAGATATTTGTAGAGAAGCTGAAATTACATTCACAGTGACATTTTTTGCAAATGTGTATCATGAGCAGTACAATATATGATCAAATGTCTGATGATTAAATGTTGCTTTGGGCACACAATAAATCAACCCTGCCAATCCCTTTGTGTTTCAAGGATTCCGAGTCACCTTTCTACTTAGGTGCAACTTCCTTATCCTGGTTTTGTGTATAGTAAGATTGTCAAGATTAATACAATTCCATTTTTCTAGTATGCTCATTCATTGGTCAGTTGACATTTAAAGCATAAATAGTCAAGTTAAAGTTTATAGACCATCTGAAAACTGATTCTTGGAACCATCTTTTTTTTCTGCCAATTCTATTGCAGAAGCAGAAAACCCCACGTGATACTTTGTATTTTCATTTCAAGGGTTGCTGTAGTCATGGAATTCATCACCAAGTTGCCAGCTTCCTGATGATTGGCTTCTCAGTACTGAAAAGTAGGCTGGCCCTCAGAAGTGGACTTGTTCTATTGCTGAGACTATAGGCTCTTCCAGCATACTAGAACTTTAATAGACTTTGCACTTCACTGACTAGAACAGTCTTTGAGAGGCTAAAGTCACCTTCATGGACATAACAAGGCACTAAGAGTAACTGTGGAGTATCAGTTAACCCTGAAAATGGATGGTGTCATTGGCCTTATCTGAGCAGGATCTCAACATGGAAGAAATATACTCTTCCTTGAGATGAGGCCATAACTATCCAAAGGATAAGAAAATTATTCACAATGACACAGCAAAGAAGTGTTCAAATGAATAAGTCTGTTTCACTTTTTTCAACCACGACAACTTTAATTCTCTTAATTCTTTTTCTTTTTCTCAAAAAGCATAAATGCTAGATACTTGGTTTTGAGGTCATCAGTAAAGAAAACACACTACTGATTCTTACTTTCAAACTCTATATCCATTTTTTGTGTTGTTGTTTGGTCATTTCGGTGTCCAACTCATCATGATCCCATTTAAGGTTTTCGTGGCAAAGGATAGTTTGCCATTTCCTTCTCCAGCTCATTTTACAGATGAGGAAACTGAGGCAAACAGGGTTAAGTGACCTACCCAGGGTCACATAGCTAGTAATTGTCTGAGGCCTGATTTGAACTTGGATCTTTCTGACTCCAGGTCTAGTGTTCTATCCTCTGCACCACCTAGCAGCCCCCATTTATTGCTACATTCACTTAAAAAAAATTATATTGTATATTTTATGTGTTCAGCAAAAAAAAAAATTATAACGAGAACTAAAATGCTTTTCTTTTATTTATACTCATAACAATGTTAGTAAGCAATGTCAGTATTCAAATGGGCTTTTGTTATTTCATTATTTTGAGTGTTTCCTCTGGTGAAGCAGACCAAAATCCATCATGCTTGCCCATCCCCCAAAATTCCCTCATATAAGGTTTGACACATGTAAATCCAATGTACTAAGGGCCTTCCATACTTTTTCCTGATATTGCAAGCATACGTGGAACCTGAGAGCTGTCCATCATTTATCCCTCACTCTCACCACATGATCTGTCTTTATTTTTTATCACGTGTCTTTCATGTTAGTAATATTTTTAAAAAGGTAAATTTTAAAAGGGTATATTTTCTGAAATGTACTACAAAACAATTTTTCTATAGAACTACTTATTTCATTTCATGTAATATAAATCATTTGGATTTAGTGAATGACTAACACATATTTGCAATCCTTATCAACTTTTATTTATTTCAGTCACTTATAAGCTTGATAACATTGGTCCACATTCAAAAAGTAGGAATCATCCATCTCGCATTCTGTAGAATGAAATTGTTAACACCAACCTTACCAACTAATATAGGAGTTGAAAAACAGACATTAAAATGAAAAATGGATTTTCAACTCAAGCCATTCCCAAAAATACCACCATACAGAAAAGTATGTCTGTGTGCATAACTATAAGAATTCACAATACCATATGCTGACAGATGAGAGTATTTCAGAGTTGGCAGGAACCGAAATGACATTTAGTCCAACCCCCTCATTTTACACAAGGGGAAACTGAGGCCCAAAGAGGTTAGTGACTCCTCCAGTGTCACATAGCTAGACATGGGATGAGGTGGAATTAGAACCCTGGTCTCCTGGGTCCAGTCCAGTCAAATACTCTACATGTTTCCTTTCCTAGGTCTTAACCACCTCTTATCAGATCACCAAACTTTCAAAAGAGGTTAAAAAACCAGTTATCCTCTGTCTACGAGAATATTTTTCTAAAACTATGTGTATAAGCATTTCCCCCATTTTAGGACTTCTGTAGATCATAAAAACCTTCATCTAGTAACTGTTCAAGATATTTACATCACCTTAAGACATTTACAAGTAGTTCATAATACATAACAATCTAAAGATGATTTCTACCCATACTGTTAAAGAACTCGGCAAAAAATTTCTATTATACTTTCAGTGCATTTGTTCCACATAGATGAGCAACACAGGCTAACATTTAAAAATATTTAAAGTACTTCCAGTGCATATTTCCAAAATCAAAATGGAATGAAATTATTTTAATGCCACTGTAATAACATAGCAGAGTGAAGGATTTATTGTCACAATTTCACTTAAATATTACCCACTTTGAAAAATGGTTACAAGTACACACAAAATAGAAAACAAATCTTGTCTTTTAATACATTTTAAATATAATATCCACTTTAAACCATACCAAAAGACTTATCTTAATACAATATGGGTGGTTTCCATATTCCTTTATTAGGATGGCACAGAAAAAGGTTAATCCATTCGGATCTTCTGATTTGTCATCCTATAAATAATGCTATCGTATCCAGGATCCATGTTCCACAAGCCATAAGAGATGATGATCACAGCTAAGGCTAAGCCCAGCATTATCCAGAGAATTATGTTGAAGACTACTGCATAGTTTACATTATACGTATACGCAAGATTATACGGATTTCCTGGATTGTTCTATAATTAAGTTGAAAAAAAAGAAAGAAAAGATTTGAACATAGAAAGTTATGTAGTCCGAAAGATTATGACATGTCAGGAAGGCACAGACAACATAGTGCTGCTAGGAATGTTAGGTCTTAACTCCCAAAGAAATTTCCATTTTCATCTACTACCATATTTTACATAAATCAAATTTCTTATTTGTACTAATTAGGAAGTGATAATAATATAATTTGAAGTACATTAAAATATCTTCACTCTACATTCACCAAATACATTTAACTTTATTTAATTTTTTAAAAAATAAAGAGAAGAAACTTTCTATGTAATAAAGAAGTCTAGCATCATTTGTAAAAGAATTCTATCACAATTAAGCCAAATGCCTGAGGAAGGAACTCACAGTTCACCTTAAAGAACCAAGAAGATGTGGTTTGGGTAGTGAATTTCAGTATAAGGCATCAACCTGGAAAGTATTGTTTTTCTGTCTGGTTCCCTGAATTGCAAAGACTTTCCTAAGCCACTAGTGGACATGACTTGTTAACATTTTAAAAACTATAAATTAATAAATAAGAGTGCTCGGCCTTAAAATTCTCTTCAGAACTAAAGTGCATGTATCAGTGAACTCTAGACTATCTATAAGGAGGTTATTTTAAAATCCTTAATTCCACTTCCCAACGGAACTGGATAGGGAGAAAATTGTGGTTGGACATGAAGATGACTATGTCTATGGGTGAGTATACATCTGACTTTATTCAAAAGTCATATATATATATATATATACATATCAACAACTCATTGTTTTGAATGATCTATATTACCATTCTTCTAAATGAGTATTTAGAGAATACTAAAGGAATACACTAAAGAAAATGGGTATTTCAAATTATGTTTCTATACTTGACTCTTAAAATTGAGGGGATCATATCCTTAGTAAGTGTCCAAGAAAAAATATGCACATTTTCACCATTAATTTCTAATATTGTAATTACATAGCAATACAGTATGAGCATTACCTTTTTATTTCTGAACCATTTCCCTTTCATTCCTGACCCTAACCCATATGGAAAAATCAAGTGTTTACCAAACCAAAATCTGGTTCCAACAAAAAGGAGAAATGGTTCAAAATCACTAGTATGTTGCAATTCAAGAGTTTTAATTGTAATCAGCTTAGATTCAACACATTTAGTAGAGCAGCTTCAAAGTGAATTATGATTTGGTTAGCAAAAAAAAGTATATCTCTTGATTCTAAAGCAGTATATAAAATGCACTTACATTCTGTTTCGCCTGAAGAATAGAACGTGTCTTTCTCACAAGGGGGGAGTCAAACGACTTTACTGTTACTACTTCCACGACAGCATTCCCACCATAAAGATCATACATCTCATCTGCGAACTAAGAAAGATTACTTATTTTACTATCAAAGTTAAATAGAAATGTGTAAAATAATCTGAGAGTAGAGGGCACTGTGAAGCAAATTTGGTTAACTATAAAGTTGAGAATGGAAGGGGAGAAAAATGAAATAAAGTGGAGGAATTGGAAGTCATAATAAGGGAGAAGAAAAGTATAGAAAAGGGAAAGGCACAATGAAGAGATAGAATGATAGGTTATGATAAGATATAGGAATGTCAAGAGTTTTTGATCACACAGATTGAAAACTTGTAGGTAATGATGAGATCCAGGACAAGATTTTCCCTATGTGTGGCTGAGGTAGAGTGAAGGCATAAGGTCAAGGAATTTGAGGAGACTGAGGAAGTCAGAGGTTAGAGTGCCGGAGGAGGCATCAAAGTGAATGATAAAAGTCCCCTTGTAAAAGTGCACAAGTCAGGAAAGGGAGGAGGACAGTGAGCTAAATACTAAACTCTGAGAAAGGTAGAAGAATGACCTAGAGACCAATGGTGATGGACACCATGTATTGGGTAATACATTTTGATAGAGTAAATTTTCAAAGAATGAAGGGCTGCTGAATGATGGTGGTAAAAGAAGAGTCTGGATATGGCAATGGGGAGCAAGGAGTATTCCAACTCCCCTCACAGCACTAATAGGGAATAGGAGCACAGCAGGAGATAAAAGAAGGTGCAGCCAGTGCTAGAGAGGATGGCCAGGGGTGTCATGTCATCTGGAAAAGCCAGGTCTCATACCAGATAGAAGGACTATGAGAGGAAAAGGTACAAAATGAAGGGAAGTTTGTTACAATTATTTCTCTTTGATATTAACATTCCTGCAGTCTAAGATCTTAAAGCAGTTTCTTCAAGTCTGTTTTCATCTGTCATCACTACTAAACTAACTGATTTAAATAATCCACTGAAATATTTAAAGACAACAAAATGATGGAGGAAAAAATACTGTAAAATAAAAGGCTAGCATAGCAATAACTCCCCTCCTATCTACCCCAGATCTCTTCCAACATGTTTATTGCGTTCTCTGAAGACAATGTTTTATGTTCTGATTTTAATTTTGTATGTCTCCCCTTTGATATATATTTTTTAATATTTATATTTTTCTCATTATTTGAGGATTTTAAAAACTGGAGGCAGAATTCACTAGCCATCTCTTTCTTTCCTTGATTAATATGAGTGGTCAATGGGAACTTTCCCCTTAAGGACCATTTTGCTGCATCTGGCAAATATTATCTTCTCATTATATTAAATGCAGTAATAATTGTTTTTCTATATAATTATAATAATTATTATAACTATATAATATTATTATAGCTATAATAATTATTCTCTGACCCATTCATTATCTAGATATTATTTAGTTCCCATTTAAGTCTATATCTTTTGCTCGAATTTCCCTTATGGATTTTAACCTTTTTTGTTACAGTTTTTAAAGAATGCATTTAAACATTTCTGCCTATAGATTTTTTTTTCTTTTTTGCTTTTTGGTGAGGCAATTGGAGTTAAGTGATTTGCCCGGCGTCACACAGATACTAAGTGTCAAGTGTCTGAGGCCAAATTTTAACTCAGGTCCTCCTGACTCCAAGGCTGGAGCTCTAACCACTGCACCACCGAGTTGCCCCTAGATTTTTTTTTAATGACCTAGCACAAGATTAGATTTTGTAAAGGTTCCACATGATAATGAAAAATAAGTATATCCTTAAAGATTCCTATTCAGTAATAACCAATGGCTAGCATATCTAATGTTTCCAATGTTTTGTTCAAATACATAATTTCCTTTTTGTTTTCAAAATAGTGTAGGTAGGATTAAGGTAATGAATGTGGAAGTCAAGAAAACCTGGGTTTTCAAATCCCACTAAGATACTTATAAACTATGTGACTACAGACAAACTCCTTAATTTCACTGTGCCTTATTTCTCTCTTCTGTAAAATGAACGTATTAGACTCAAAAACCTCTAAGGTCTTTTCCAGCTCTAAATCTATCATCCTATGATATATCTGTTAGATATATTTAAGTCTAAACGTAGCATACTGAAATCTCTTTCAATGACTATTTAATTATTTAGCCTCTTTCAATTCAGTTAGCTTTTTTAATAAGTTGGTGTGCCATTCAGTATATAAATATGTTACAGTGGATTGAGAAGCTGGTCGTGGAACCAGGAGGTCCTGAGTTCAAGAGTCTCTGACACATTCTAAACCAGTCACTTAACCTTCTAGCATTCTAAGCAACTTTTTAAAATTATAAGTTGCAGAGAAAGTGCCAATCTGCACTGGAAGAGAAAGTTTTCTTAACCAGGAGTTTCCTTTATCACGATCCAGCAGATCCAGTTTTTTTTTTTTTATTGAGAGAAGCAGGATGGCATGATGGGTAGAGAGATGACCCCAAGACAGGAAAGACCTGATTCACAGGTTACCTCTGGCTTTGTAACCCTGGGCAAATTACTTAATTTCTCATTGCTTCTGGCAACTCCAAGCCTCTAAGTTAAAGACAGGATGCTGATCTACATTGGAAGATAGAATTTCCTTACTGGTAGTTCCCTCAATGAAATCATAAGTATAGGAAAAAAAACAGTTTTATTTTCTACGGCAGAGGGGGCAGAATCAAGTTGAGAGGTAAGGAAAGTCAACATTTCTATCTAGCTTTCCCAATACAACTCCTCCACAACAACCCAGAAAATGCACCAAACTGAGTTTTGACCAAGAAAGTCAGGAAAAAGTGAGTCATTTTTCCAGCAAAGGGCGGTTTAGAAAGACAGACAGGTCTGTGGACAGTGAGATGGGGGTGAGCTGGGACAATAAAGATTACACAAGATTTAGCAGCCACCACCTAAAAGAATGTAGAGTTTGGAATAGTATATTATAGAAGGCAAAGGATCTAGGGTCACAACCAAGAGTAACCTATCTTGCAAAACTAAATATAATTCTATTGGGGAAGAGCGAGGGAGAAAGGGAAAGAAATAATTAATAGAGTTCAAGCATTCCTGATGAAAGGACCAGAGCTGCATAGAAAATTTGACATTTAAACGCAGGATGCAAGGGAAGCATAAAAAGGTAAATATGAGGGAGAATTGTAAGGGACTAAAAAAGATAAAAATGTTCACGTTTCTACATACAACCCCTTAGAAAAAGGCTCTTAGAGGGAGCTTAATTGGGAGGACAGAGGTGCGTGGGTATGACACTATTATGCTGGGATGATCTCAAAGTAGGAATGGAAGGGTTAGACTCTTAACTATTAGAGGAATGCACTGGGGGATGAGAAAAGGGAGAAGAAAAAGAATGGGAAAAATTACATAAATAGGGCATGAAAGGAAGAGTTTATACATGGAGAGGACAGGGGTAATGCTTGAGTCTATCTAAACTGGTTCATGAAGTGAAGAATAAACATACACCCACACAGCTGAGTACAGAAATTCATCTTACACAACAGGAAAATAGGAGAGAAAGAGGGTAAGAGAAAGAGGGAGAGGGAAATAAGAGGGAGGGTAGATTAAGGGAGGCAGTGGTCAGACATAAAATAGATTCTTGAGGAGACAGGGTGAAAAAGAGAAGTATGAGAAAATAAGATGGAGGAAAATACACAGTTAACACTCATAACTGTGAACGTAAATGGGATGAACTCACCCACAAAATGGAAAAAGATAGAGAGGATAGCAGAATGGATGAGAAACCAGAATCCAACAATATGTTGTTTACAAGAAATACATTTGAAACTGAAAGATACATATAGAGTTAAAACAGGGAGCTGGAGAAAAATCTGTTATGCTTCAGCTTAAGCAAAAAGGCAGGTCTCAGAGTAAAATCAAAAGTAAAAACAAACCTAATTAAATGAGTTAAATAAAGAAACTACATTTTGCCAAAATGACGATGAATTATTATACTGAACAGAGGTACTCCAAAGAATATAGCATCTAAACTCTTAAAGAAAGGGTTAAATGTGTTACAGGATGAAATAGACAGTAAAAACTATACTTGTGAGGGACCTTATCTTACCCTTCTCAGATCTTAATAAATCTAGCCATAAAATAAACAAGAAAGGAGTAAGGAGATGTATAAAATTTTAGAAAAGTTAAATATGATAAGCTTCTGAAGAATACTAGGAAGAATGGGAATAGAAAGGAGCAGACCTATTTCCCAGCCCTGCATGGCACCTTCACAAAAATCACATTCAATAAAGAGCCTAGGAAACATAAATTTAAAATTTATTGGAAACCAAATAACTTTATGCTAAAAAATGAATGTATCAAAGAACAAATCACAGAAACAATTAACAATTTTGTTCAAGATAATGACAACAATGAGATATCGAAATTTGTGGGATACAGCCAAAGTAATACTTAGGGAAAAATTATATCTCTAAATGCTTATGTCAATAAAAGAAAGGCCATACCAATGATTTGGGTATGGAAGTAAGAAAACTAGAATAACAAAAACCTCCAGCTAAACACCAAAACTGAAATCCTGAAAATCAAACGAAAGATGTATAAAACAGAAAATAAATAACCATTAAATTAATAAAACTAGGAGCTGGTTTTTTAAGAAAACTAATTAAATAAATCATTGGTTAATCTGACTTTTAAAAAAGAAAGCAAACCAAGTACCAGTATCAAAAATGAAAAAGGTGAATTCACAAGCAATGAAGAAGAAATAAAAATGATTATTAGGAATTGCTTTGCCCAACCATATGCCAATAAAATTGTCAATCTAAATAAAATGGATGTTTAATATAAAAATATAAATTCCCTACATTAAAATAAGAGGAAATAGAATACTTAAATAACTCTATCTTAAACAAAGAAATTGAATCATTCATAAATGAATTCCTTAAGAAAAGTACCCCAGGACCAGATGGATTTACATTATCTATGGTTCTTTAAGCATAAAGTACTTTCCTTGCTTATTTCTCTTGGTACTATTTTTACTAGTGCCTCAGTTTTATATATTGGTAAAGTCACCTTTTGTAGAAAATCGGTAAGGATCTGTGAAGCATCTTTGAATTGCTGAGAATCTTCTCCATAGCGTTTTCCAATTTCATCCAAGCCTGCCAGCTCCAGAGAATACAGGTCAGGAGAATGATCTTTGGCTAGATGCTTGTGTCGGGACAACTTAGGAAAAGGTTACAGAACAAATAAAATTGCAAATATATTCACTTAAAATTTTACGTCAAACTAAATTTCATACATAACTGAGCTAAGTCGGATACAACTATATTTAAGATATTTAGTAACTTCCCAACTAGTTCCCTGAGACTATAAAAAGATGAGTATCATATTACAGTCATGACATCAATAGTTTGATAAAAGTAGTAAGAACTCTTCATTAAATCTAAGGGGAGTAATGATAATTCCTAGACATATAATAAATATTTTCTGGTCATTTAAATGCTAATTTCCACTGCATCTGCCTGCTTACTACATTAAAAAAAAACTAACACAGACAATATGCTAAGTAGATTATTATATAGCTAAACAAACAGATGGACTGACATATATTTTGCAATGAGGTCTGGGTGAAGAAAGGTAGTATGTAATTTACAGGTTGAGGGACTGTCCCCTATAGTAGAACTACTCATACCCTTGATACTTTCTTTTCCAAATTCCTACAACTAAACTCCAGTGGAGACTTGGGAATTAAGTGCAGATCTCTACTTTGATCAATTTGAATCATGACTAAGATAGAAAAATGTACCTATGCATAAAAGTAAAAAAAATATCACTAAAAAGCTTTAGAAGCAGATCACTGATTCAGATGACATAATTATGAAACTAAAAGTCAACATTAGTTCAAATTGTTATTTACGTTTTACGTGACCCTTTGTGGTCTAAACTTGATTTCAAATACATGAAATTTTTTTCTGGTGGGGGTGAGTGGGAGTTGAGGATGAGATGGGATACACCAAACAGACCTATGATGCCATCTGCCTAGGAAATTCCAAGTATGCAAATCACCAATGCAGTCAAGCAATCCCTCTGTAACTTATAGTCTTTGATAGATTCTTGGAATAGTGAGAAGTCAAGTTAACTTGTCCATGATAACAGATCTAATATATATCAAGAAGCAAGACTTGAACCCAAGACTTCTTAATTCCAGGGCTAGCCACCTACCTCTACCTCTATCCACTACACAATACTTGCTGTGCACAGGCATGTGTGTGCACACAAACACAATTCTCTTGAATACTTCATAAATATAGACCTGTTGAATAGTGTCCCCAAAGTCTTATACTGTGTTAAGCTTTAATAACTTCAGAAGTGTAAATGTTACAAACTAAAAAGAATATAATTTTAAAGTTTAATTATTTAAATTTCTTTACACTTAAAATCTGTGAATTCTGAATAATAAGTTTTTTATTTCAACAAGGTTGCTATTATGTATTACATGTTGGACAGTTTCCAGATGACACTTTTTCAGACTCATGGATTAGGCTAGGATTTTAAATGCAATCATGTCAGTCACTGAGCAACAGATGATTAAAGTTTTTTACAAAGCTCAAAAATCAACTAGAGTGAGATGTATCACACAAGATGGTGGTTATGCTGAATTTAACAAGAAATACATTAAGACTGTAAAAATTTAAATAACCAGCCTTTCAAATATTCTTTTTTGTAAGTTTGTAGCATTTATACTTCTTAAGGTATTAAAGTTTAAAACTGCTCTAAGACTTTTGGGACATGGTGTGTGTGTGTGTGTGTGTGTGTGTGTGTGTGAATGCGTGTGTGCACGTGTGCCCTTGATGTTCATTCAAGAGAACAGAACAGGATGAAGAAAATATTTGGTAGCTGTACCTCTAATTTTGCCCCTGATTTGCTGTGAAAACATGAGTTATGACTTGGTTTCTTTGTCCTCATGTTCACATAAGTGCCACTATGGTGTAGTAGTGGGGGAAGATCATGCCTTAGTCACTTCTAAGTTATAGAAGGGCTGCCTAACTGCTTTATCAACTATCCACTAATGTTATAAGAATTTGGAAAAAAGAAAAATGGTTAAAAGCATGCAAACTGCTGCTGAGGTCAAAGCTAAAATCTCACTGCTAAAATCTAACAGACCAGCTATTTAATTAAGATAAACACCTAAACACCTAAGAGGTAACATGGCATAGTGTCTAGAGAGTTGGACTTAGAATCTGGATTTGAGTTCCACCACTTGACACATATTGGTTTTATAACCCAAGTAAAGTCACTTCTAACCTCTGTGTCTCAGGCACAGTTTAGTTCCTAACTGGGAGTTCCCTAGACCGATGAAATCACTGGGCTAGTTAAAAAAAAAAACCACATACACACACACATAAATACATGATATGAATAATATATATTAATATAACACATATGCAAATTCTATCCAAATCTATGCTAACTTCAGATATAAAAGCAATAATAGTTGTGATGGGATTTTTATCAGACATGTTAAATCACATATTCCAATCAGTGTTCCGAGTCACCCACCAATCTTTTAGAGACTTTCTTGAAAAACTACCTTCTGTAACACGAAGGGGAAAACTGAGTATTTTAAAGCCTTCTTTTAACACTAAAGTTACCTACTTACCAAAGCTGCAATATCATGCAGAATTTGTAACTCAGAGAAAAATAGCAAATCAACCTAGAAGACCAAAATAAAATCAGTATTAGCTTTCATTTTACCAGAAAATGGGTCAACTGAGACTCATGTTTGCTAATATTTAATAAGGAAAATAATTTTATAGACATATATAAAATTATACATAGCCTTAACCCACTGTGAATTTTTGTTCTCTAGAACACATTGCAAATAACCAAAATAACATCAGCATAAGCAAAGCACAGATGGATCTACACAATGATCTTTTACGGAATATATCCCTTAAAGATAACTTTCAAATGCACAGTAAACATTCTAAGTAAAACGAATGACCCAAGTATTAATGATTAAAAATCATATTACTCTAAAACATTATTAATCACAAATGCACCAAGACACCAGAGCAATTCAAATTTGTGGTCTTATTACAATATGAGAAGGCAGTATTGTAGGAGGGGAGAGCTGGCATCAAAGCCAGGAATATCTCGGTTCAAATCTTGCCTCTGACACATACTGGCTATGTGATCCCTGGTCTCTCAGTAGTTCAGGAAACTTTCTAATAGAGTCATAATAGAGTTGCATACAAGGTGCTAATACGAATTAGTTAGAGGGCATTTCCTCACCAGAGAGTTCCCTATAAAAGTGAAATCACAGGTTCAGTCTATATCTGTATATTACAATGCCCCAAGTCTTCACTTCCCTTTTTGCCAATTTTTAATTAGTTCCATGAAGGATACTGGCCATGTTTAGACCTAAGAGGCACGGTATGCATATGTAAATATAACGGAGTTGAGGCTTGAGTCAGACGGCTAGTTGACTTGGTAGATAAGAAGGGGTTCTACTTAGACTGTCTCCACTGTTGTAATGTCTTGAATGAACCAGAAAAATATGGCAACCAGTGGCAAGGAAAGATAGCCACTACATTCTCACCTTTAAAGAAAGGTGACAATCTTCATACCTGAATGTGATACTAATGACTATAACCAAAGTTTTGAAGAAAGGTTAGGTTTTCTTGTTCATCATCCCCATTCCAAGTTTATCCTCAATTCAGCAATGTAAGGAAGGGAAAAATGAAGAACATTGTTCATTAATTATCTCAACACCACTTACATCATTGTTCCTGCTCAGAGAGTTAAGAGGCAGAGAGCTAAGAATGGAGTTATCCTGGAACAGGCGATTGCGCAGCTGCCTCAGAGTGACTGAAAGGTCTTCAAACACGGCGTTTGCTTTCCCCACCATATACACTCTCTGAAACAACACATTTAAAGCTCATCCACACACTGCAGATTCATTTTAATTCATAATTTGTAACAGCAGCTGCTTTTAGTTTATAATCAAGGTAGAAAAGTCTGAGATTTCTTAATGATAAAGTACTTATTTCTGTTAAACAGATGACGGAAATTTGATTTTTGTCGATACAGACTTTACATATGGGTCTCTGTTGAGGATTGTCAAGTATATAACTAAAATAATTTTTGAAAAAATGAAGACAAGAAACAAGTGTGAAAACAAGGCAATTTTTGTTTTTAGAATATTTTTAAAAGTATATTACTTACTTCCTCACTAGGAGCCAACTGCAAAACTACAGGTGTTTCCTCAGAAAAAAACGTATGGATAGAATTTGCAACACTGTCAAGACTGAAAGGAACTGCCTAGGATACAAGAATAATACTTTATTTTAAAATTTTTACCAAAAAAGAGAAAAATAGTTTAGATACGAATTTTAAAAGGCCATTAGGATGACTATTGCTTGTGTGACACTTCTATCTATATAAGCAAGTATATTATCCGTAGAAACTCAAGAGTCCCAAGTCACCACTTCCTTAGGAAATGCCACTGACTCACAGACTTAGCACCAGAAGGGGCCTGAGAAGTTAAATCTGATCCCCTCCTTTTACAGATTAGGAAAGCTGAGGTCCTGAGAAGATAAGTGATATTCTCAGAGGAACACAGCTAGTAAGTGTCTGAGACAGGATATAAATATAGGTCACCTTGACTCCAAATTCAGCTGTTCTATCATTCTAATCAATCAACAAGCAACTACCAAAGTATTACTAAACCAAAAGATCATGCAAAAGCGGCAAAATCTAGTAGCAAAATGTGACACTGATTCCGAATAGCCAGTCATTCCCTAATCAGGGGCCAGTAAATTTTGTGAGTCCAGTGCAGGACTTCTCTCCTCCTAATGAAGACTACAACCATAAACTGAAAACCACAGGATCACAGGTCTAGAGCTGGGAGGGGCTGGGAGGTCATCCGGCCAACTTCCTCATTTTACAAATAACGAAACTAAGGTCTGGAGAGGTGAAATGATTTGCTCCAGGGCATAGAGCAGGAATGTGAATACAGATCCTCTGACTTCAGTACTCTTCAGCAGTCTATAAATAAGATTTTTACAGAGTTGCCTGAAGCTCAAAGAGGCAAGTGACTTTTCCATAGCACATGGTAAATATCAAAGGAATTGAATCCCACTGATTAGGTCTTCCTATTTAGTCATCCCTATTAGGTCATTCTATTTACCATGCAATTCTGCCTCTCTGCGTTCAATGTCCACCAAATGAAATTTAACTTTTTCTCTAATCCAAGATGCAATATAATTTTATAAGGGGAAGATGAGTGTAAAAATCTTTTAAAAGCATTTAGTGGGGCAGCTAGGTGGCGCAGTAGATAGAGCACTGGCCCTGAAGTCAGGAGGACCTGAGTTCAAATCCGGCCTCAGACCAAACACTTGAGACACTTACTAGCTGTGTGACCCTGAGCAAGTCACTTAACCCCAATTGCCCTAAAAAAAAAAAAAAAGCATTCAGCTACAACCAGCTTCCTTCAGCCTACCACAATGTCCAAACATTCAGGCTTATGTTCCTCTTTAAGCTTGAGAGTTCTCTCTATCACACTCTCGGCAGCTTCTTAAACTCTTCTCGTGAAGTTGAAAAAATCACTAAACGACACATACAAAAAAGTATGGAAGCAAAATTCTAACCAGAATGACTGGTGGGCAATGTCTCCCAAACAACAAAATTAATGTTTCACCAGCTCCTCTCCCCGACTTCTTTAGGGTCTATTCTTTAGAAATGAGGGGAGAATTCTTCTTATCCATACAATGAAAGGCTATCCTGCCCACAATGAATAATAAGATCGAAGAAATCTGGAGCTCATCAAGTTTATTGATAATTTATGTATATTTTTCTTTATGAAAAAAAGGGGATAACTTCCTCATATTAATCAACTTATTAAAACAAACATAAGGAAATAGCTATATGCTAAAAAGTCACACATACATAAAAACGAAACAAAAGCACCTAGTGACTATTCATAAAACAACACTCAAAAATCAATCTGAAATACTCACATTCTCAAGAGGGTATGAAACAACACCATTCTTGAGTAAACCCAAACTGTCCACTCCCTTCACTGTCACCAAAACAGTAGCTCGAGGACGATGGAATAAGTTGCCCACAGCAAGTCCAGGCCATGAAAGATCCTAAATATTTAAAAGCATAAAATAAGGCTTAATTTTCAACTTAGGCAAGTTCCCCCCAAAACATCTTAAAAAAAAATAGGGAGTAACGTGGTTAGCAGTAGGAGTGAAATTTTCAGAAAACCTATAAATTGTATTTAATACAGTATGTATTCCAATCACACAAGGCGCTCATTTAATAAGAAATGCTATTTGAGTTTTATCATCACCTTTGTGTTCCTTGTCCATCTTCCCTAGAAACTAAAATATTAAGAGGAATAAAAATGGGGGCAGTTTTTGAGATACATCAATTATGGGATTTTCAAATTCTAAATTATGATTTTATTCTCTAAGTGAAAATATTCTCTTCCCACTCAAACGGAGATCTTTTGGTCATTCCCCTTTAACACAGTAAACACAGTAGGCCCGGACTATGTTGTATTACTAACAATGTAATTGTTACATTGATTGTAATTGTACATGAAAAGCAATAGGCAAGGCATATGGAAGAAAGTATATGAATGGAAAAACAGACAGCTAATTATGTAATGAGAATTTTTCTCTTCCTCTCTAAATTCCCATGAATTTAGAGAGCAAGAGAAGTCTCCCAATACATTAGGTAGAACTCTATGAACAATTTATGGGGGAACACGTATGAGGATAAAATGAAAAGATATTGGGGTTTCTAAATCAGCGGCAGGAAAACTTCCACTAAAAAAATCAACTCTCACAGTATTAAATAATAATAATAAATAAAAAGTAAATAAATAAGAGAATAAAACCATTCAAATAAATGCTTTTTGGACTACAGAATTTAGTCCTGTTTTAAAAAAAAAAACCTAGGGTAAGAATAGCTACTATAGCTTAGAAGCTTCAATAAAATTTTCAGTGTTTTTAGTCAAATTAGAAAATTTATAACCATAAATTTGCCCTTAAACATGTCGTGTCACTTTCCTTAAGTTGGTGTCAAAGAATAGTTTCCCTGATATTAAAGGTGTAAAATTTGCCAAATATGGCTGGCAACACAGATGGTAAAAGAGGGACTTTGAGGGTAGGAAGGTACTTTTTCAAGCCTATGAAAATAGGTGTTTGGTAATACACAGCTTTGTGGCATAAATACCAATACATGGAACAGGAACACAGATGTCATACCCATAATTATATTTTGTTGCCTGCTCATATCTTCCATGCTCCTCCATATTTGCCCTTTGTGTGATACTTATCTTTCATTCTTTGGAAGCAGTGATGTTCCATGTCTTACTGCCATAGAGCAACACTAATAAAATGTTAATACTGAAAAGCCAGATATGATGGAATACTACTGTCTGTAAGAAATGATGAGCAGGTGTTTTAGATAACATGGAAAGACTTGCACGAAATAATGCATAGTGAAATGAGCAGAACCAAGAGAACATTGTATACAATGGCAGGAATTCAAAGAGTTAACTGTGAATGACTAAGCTATTCTGAGTAATATGAACATCCAAATCAACTACAAAAGACTTATAAAGGAAAATGCTATCCACCTCCAGAGAAAGAACTGATATATGGAAGTATTTATTGCATGGTTCCACATATATGTCTATATCAAATGCTGGCCTCCAATTCAAGGTTGGGAGAGAGACAACTTGGAACTCAAAATGTAACAAATAAACAAACAAACAAATCAATGAAAAGCTGGGTCTTTGCTTTCATGTAAAGCATGAGGTCAGTAAAAAGAGCTCAGCAATTTCCTGAAAATGATCTAGCCTGCTCTCTTCCCCACTTTTCAACTCTATGTCCAGTTCATCTTCCATCTGTACTATCTCTCCCAAATACAAGTGGACAAGTTTTCCGGGATTTCCATTCAAATTAATTTTGAAATCTGAGCGACAGTCTTCATCCACTTGGTCTTTCCTATGTGAATGGACAAGCCAAACTCCTTTGAGTAATTACATCTTTTCCATGAGGCTCAGCAGTGCCTTGGAGGCGCAACTGATGCAATCAGTATGGTATCTTCCACAAACAAGAAGATCTGGAGGACCTGACCAACCACAAGAAATCCCTCCTTCACCCGGACTCTGTGCTGAATCTCCTCTTAACGGCGGTAAATACCTTTGACAAACATACATATTTCTCTCTTACGCTTCACCTGATGTTTATCATTAGAGGGTCACTAAATGGTTACTTCTGTTATAATACCTTCCAAGGAATCTTGAATGAACATGGCACAGACAGATCTCGTACAAGTACCTGTAAGGCTGCATATTGTTCTAAGGAATCAAATGATTTTTTGTTGTCCACAGCAAGTACGACAAGATCTTATATTCTCTTTTAGTTAATACTGAAATGACAATGATTTGGTTCACTGTTGAATACTGTCTGTCAGAGTCTGCTTGTTCACTGCTAGTGCCCTCATCAAGGATCCTCTCAATCTGCGTATGGGTAACACTCATAAATTTGTATAGTTGAGAAGGCATGAATGTAGGCCAGTACTTATTTTATGTTTGCTTGGTCTCCTTTCTGGTGGACATTCATAAGGTCCAAGCTTTCCCCCATCCTTTTGGTATCTTCCCCTCCTCTCAGTTACCTTTAATATTGGTCCCTCAATATATTACCTCTAACATAGATATGTATACTTGGTTCAATCTAGCTGCTTTTGCCATATTTTATTCCTTTTAGCACCATTTCTCCCTGCTCTATTATCACTTCAAGGAATGCGATTTAAGTGTGGTGCTTCCACTACCCCTGACAGAGAAAACAGCTTGTTGAAATAGATTTGTAAATTTTTTTTTTTTAACAAAAAAGTCAACAAGCATTTATGAATTGCTTACTTCATGCCAGGCACTGTGTTAAGCACTGAAGATACAATGAAACACAACACAGTGCCTGTCCTTAAGGAGACTGGGAGAGACAACAGACAAACAATCAGGCATACACAAGATATATACAGTTTAAATAGAAGGTAATCTCAGAAAGACACTAGCAGTCAGAGGGGCTGTGGATAGCCTTTTGCAGCGGGTAGGATTTGAGCCAAATCCAGGGAAGTCATCAGGACAGGAGGAAGGAGAACACTGCAGGTACAGGAGACAACTCATAAAAAGGAATGGAGTCTGAAGATAAGAGTGTTATGTGCAAGGAAAAGAAGGAAGAGCTAAAAATAGAAAAGGTGGGCTGGATGTAAGGTGTAAAACTGGAAAGATAGGGAAGGCCCAGGTTATGAAGAACTTTAAGATCCAAATTGTGAATTATATATTTGATCATTAGGCAATAGGGAACCACTGTAGTTTACTGTATAAAGGAATGGCAGTCAGGCTTATGTTCCAGGAAGGTGACTTGGGCAGCTGAGTTGAAGATGAACTGGAGAGAGAAGATACTTGACTAACCAGAAGGCTATTGTAATTGTCTGGTGGAAAATGATGGGAGCCTACACCAGGGTGGTGGCTGTATAAGTGGCGAGAAGGGAATGTATATGAAAGATGCTGTAAAAGTAGAAATGACAAGGCTTGGTAACAAACTGAAGATGTTGGGTGAGCACAAATAAGAAGCTGAGGATGACACTAAGCCTGAGAAGCTGGGTGATGGGGAAAAAGGTATCAACAGTAATAAAGAAGTCTGGAAGAGGGAAAGAGTTTGGGGAGAACTTCGAGTTCTGTTTTGAATTTGATTGAGACGTCTATGGGACATGTAGCTTGAGATGTCCAAAAGGCAGCCAGTGATGCAAAACTGGACAAAGGGTCAGTCATATAGATCTGAGAATCAATTGCACGAGAAGAGATGAGAAGAGAAGAAGAGAGCGAGGAGAAGAGGGCCTAAGACACAGCCTTGGGAGGCACTCCACAGTGAGCAGATGTGACCTAGAGGACGATCCATTTTTCTTCCATTTGTAGCAGCACACTTTTCATTTTCACTTTTGAATGTCCTTGGAATGACTTAACTTTGCTGGATATCTTGCCAAACTTTCTTTAAACCGGTTTTAACCTCCGCTGCTTCTCTCTGCTTTAAAAGATGATAATCAATCACCCTCCTTCATAAGATTTTACAGAGGAGTTTATATTTTAACTTTGTCATTGACAGCCATTTCTATTTTGTAAGTAAGTTTGCTAACTAATGTACTTTCTGGACTCTCTCAGTATTCCTGTTATGAAATTTAATTTACATTAGCTTAACTTGTGGATGAAACTATTCATTGGTGTTGATGTCTGTTGTCCCTCTCCCACTTCTGATCTTCAATAACTTATTTAAATAATTAAAGATTAAATCTTTTTAATCATACACGACATATTTTTTCTTTTTTTCTAAATTCTGATCTTAGCTCTGACAAATCACGTCTGATTGCACTTGGATGCTGACTGAGGGAAAAATCCCACATCAATAATAAGTATTTTCCTGTCTGTTAATCAAATACATATGTATATAGTAACTATATAAGACCAAACGTCATTCCCTAATGAACAAGTGATCGAAAAATAAGAACAGTCTTTAAAAGAATCACAAATTATTAACAACCATCTGAAAGACTGATTTCGTTTCAAACTCAGCAAACTGGGAAAGATGCTAAGATGAACAGAGTCAATGTTCTAAGGGCTACAGACAAACAGGCACACAAATGATCTATTAATCCATCACCAGTATTGGAAAACCAAATCAAATTGCAAGGCCATTTGATGGTGAATCAGATACAGTTTTAAAAAGATCTATTACAAACAACTTTAAAACAACAAAACCAATTAAAACTACATCCAATTGCAACGTTTATTAAGCATATTACATAAGCAAAGCATTGGCATTGGATATAGAAAGACAAAAGTAAAACACCCATAACAATTAGTAATTTTGAAAATTAACTCCAACATCTCTATTTTACTAATTACTCCATGTCCCATTCCATTTTCTTTGTAGATGTAGTCTCTTTCATAGAATGAGACCTAAAATAATATCATTTAGCAACAAAACCAAACAAAGTTTTCCAGAATCTGCGGATGGACTGACTGACTTTAGTAAAAACCAACAGAAGTGACTTCAAATAGTTTCAAGTATTTTATTGAAAGTATACATACTTCTTCCACAGAAAAGCCCATGGATAATGCAGCCACATCTGGAATTCGATCTCCGGGTATTGGCCATTTTCCATCTCGGAAAACAACAGATTCTGGTGATCTTAACACACTAAACTCATTGCCCAGTACACCTAAAAAAGAAACACAAGAGGTTAATTTAATTATAATTTAAATACTAGCAAATTTCCCACCTCTACTTCCAAAGGTAGACTGAAGTGAACAACCTGTGGTAGTTACATAAGGTTATAAAGTTCAACAGATGGGCAGATGTGGATTACCTGCAATATGCATTACTGGAAGAAGTTCCCACATATTGATGAGATTGTAAACCCTTTGGGGTATTGGAAAGGACCCACAAAAGTGTTCATTACCCTCAAATTCTTCACATTCTCAAGTTGTCTTCACAATGCTAATCCCTACTACTATCCCTATACTAAAATTATCAGAGAAGGAAATCACAAGTTGCCTTCCACATACCTCCTTTACCCCTCTCCTGTAGAGTCAATCATGAGATCTGGCTTATTGATACTCCATACTGGATTCTTTATTGCCACCATTTTTCTTCTTTTCCTAGATTCCCTAACAACTATATCCTCTAAATGGGAAGAATACAGGTTTTCTTGATTTACCCTCTATTCCCTTTCCCCAGGTCCTCAAAAGCAGTACACTACTACATATGTATTTTAAAGGTATCTGTTACAAAGCACTACAGAGGAAATAGACACATATGGGTAAGGAATGAAAGGTACATATGACCAGGAGTGTATTCTCTAAGACTGAAAAATTTAATGTAGGGAAGGCCGGGTAAAAGTAGAACTATGTGGAACATGTCCACGTGCATATACACACAATGTATACATATGTACATATAAATATTTTTTTTTGGACAGAACCTGTGATTTCAATGGATCTTCTGGAAGATAATTTCCATGAATGTTCTAAGAAACGAGTTGCCTTGGTCACTGAGCAATTAAGTGACTTGTCCAGGGGTGGATTTGAATGTAGGTTTTCCTTATTTTGATGGCTCTTTAATCTAGACTTATCATACCACTTTTTTCAGTTTAACGATTACGTTAAAGTAACATAAACTGAAGTACTGAGAAAATTGGGGGAACTGCCCAGACTGCAAAGATACAAACAGCCTAGGCTCATTTTCAGGTTCCTGTTATGTAGAAAGTGGTTCCTAGTTCATAGAAAGTCTAGCCATGCTTGGTATGATAGAAGCAGACTTAAAAAACAAAAAAAAGTCAAAACTTAATAAGCATGTTAATAGAACTAAAACAGTAAACGAATTCTGGAGGTACCAACAGTAAATATAAAACCTCAGAATGGTGTTTATACTAACAGAAAGTGGTATAAACAAATAAAGTACACTCACTAAAGCAAGTATTTCTAAAATTTTTCTGGATATAAAACTAGGAAGTAATTAGTAAGGGCAAGAGACCAGTGATAACACATATCTGGTACTTACTGAACATAGTTAAAGAATGATAGAAGGGATATATGATTTGAGGGACTTGCCTACTCATCCATCATTTCAGTGTTGCAGCTGTTATAAAATATCTCATCTCAAGGGCAGCTAGGTGGCGCAGTGAATAGAATAGAGCTCTGGCCTTGGAGTCAGGAGGACCTGAGTTCAAATCCAGCCTTAAACACTTAACACTTACTAGCTGCGTGACCCTGGGCAAGTCACTTGACCCCGATCGCCTCACCATAAAGCAAAAATAAATAAATAAATAAATATCTCATCTCAGCTTTGTAGATATATCCAATTAACTTGCAGACCTACAAAGTTTTGGCCATACTTAAGAATAATATATGAAATGATAGTATAAAAATCAATACTAATGACAGTATTAGGAACAGGTCACATTTTCCATTTTTATTTAAAATTTATCTGCAGATTTCTTCGAGGTTTAGTCTAATTTCTTTTAAGCAGTTCTACCTGGTTTGCCTACAGTCATGATTCCTACAGAAATCCATTGTAGATGCAACCACACAAGTACAACCTTGTTCAATTTAGTATCAGTAAGTGGAAGAAGAATGTGTATCACCCATATCAACTACAGATGGATAGACAGCCTACTGAAACCACTCCTCGGCACGTCTTGACAGGTGCCACAAACGGACAATGAACTGGTACCAGGGATGAATAGGGGGAGGCAAATATGCTACATAATGATGATGATGATAACTGTAGCTAATATTTATATAGCACTTAAATGTGAGACACTGTGCTAAGTGCTTCACATTTATAGTTATATGATACTTTCAAAGACAGCTAGCTGCTCCCTACCTCAAAAGCCCATCTTTTTTCGCATCAATAATTTCCCAATGATGCTATCTATCTATCTATCTACATATCAATCTATCTCTATCGATGGCGATAACTCATGAAATACCTTGATCTCAAAAGAATCAGAATTTCAGGTTATTTAAAAAACAATGGAAAGATGACAGGTCCAAATAAGATACCACATATTGCCTACTATTACTTGTTCCTAAGGAAATGGTGTTAATGACTTCATATATGGTCATATATATGACCAGAAAAGGTGGAGAGCTAGTTTCCAGAGTGAGGAATATACAGGCGGTCAGCTTGAGTGTTACACTGGTGTTCAAAAAAAATTATTAAAAGTAGCAGTGGAAAACTGCTAGAACATTGGGCAGATCAGCAATGTAAAATTAACAGAAAGATACCCATAAGATTGCAATCTAGACATTAGTGGAGAAATTATACATCGTAGCCAAACCACATTTCCACTCAAGTATCTATTTATCAAATGGTGTTTTGTTCACCTAGAATCTGCTTTTCTAAACGATTTCAACTCCATGACTGACTGCCTAGCACATTCCTTCATGTCATACTGTAATGAAATGGATTTTACTCCACAAAACATATTGCCCAGTATATGTTAATTAATAAATCACAAAAGCTACTGAGCAGCTAGGTGACACAGTGAATAGAGTACTAGGCCTGAAGTCAGGAAGATCTGAGTTCAAACCCAACCTCAGACACACACATACATATACACACACAAACACACACACACACACACACTCGTGGTGTGACTTTAGTCAAGTCACTTAACTCCTATTTACCTCAGTTTCCTCAACTATAAAAAGGGGATAACAATAGCACCCACCTCCCAGGATTGCTGTGAGCATCAAATAAGACAATATTTATAATGTGCTTAGCACAGTGCCTGACATGCAGTAGGCATCATATAAATGCTAGCTATCACTATGCTGCTTAGGATCCTCATTAGCCTTCTTGGCTGCCAAAGCACACTACTGATTCAAACTAAGCCTGCAATCCATTAAAAGCAGAAGACCTTTTTCCCCAACAAACAGCATGCTGTCTAACGATGTCTCCCCCATCTTGTACCTGAAAAGTTTATTTTTTTGAACAAGTGTTAGATTTATATTTATTCTTATTAAATTTCATCTTACTAAATTTGACCAATTTGTTCTAGGTGGTTATGAAAGTACTGCTATCTAGTCTTAGCAATATCTCTCAGCTTTGTGTAATCCAAAAACAGGATAAGCATGCTATCTATACATTCACCTACCAAGTCACTGATAAAAATATTAATTAACACTACACTAAGGACATCTATCAATGCTGACAAAAAAACTATATTTTTTTTCTTTGAGGCCAAGCCTTTTAACCAGTTCTAAATCCATCTAACTACAGTACTCCCTAGCTCACACCTCTCCATCTTTCTACAAAAATAACATGAAACAATAAACAGTTGAGGGTAGAACCAATATGGCCGAGTAGCAGGAAGCAATGCCACTAGCTTACCGGCTGGCTGACAATGGCTGAGTCCATTGACACCAATAGTCTACAGTGGCTCAGACCCAAATCTAGGTGAGAAACTTGCAAAGCTCAGAGGGGAGATAGCAATCAAATTTTGCCCTGGATCAGACCATTTTGGTAGCCTTGAAAGTTTGCAGGTCCCTAGCCTGAACTGTCCCTGAAATATTGGAATAACATAACACTTAATACCCCCAAGAAAGAAGCAATAGGATCAGCCCAGAGTTTCCCTCCAGAAGTGCACAGAGCCCAGTCCTAACATCAAGTTTGTAGTCAGAAAGTGGGCTCAAAGAATGAGCAAACAAAAAGAAGAAACCCACCATAACAAGCTATTATAATAATAGGAATATTCAAAACACAAACCTTAAAGAATATCGTACAAGCAAAGCTTCAAAGAAAAAGACAGCTTGGGAACAAAAGAACAACAGATAATATTTGTAAAGCACTTAGTACAGTGCTTGGCACATAATAGGAATAAAATGCTCTTGTATGATGTCTATCAGATTGCTTGCTATCTTGAGGGGGGCAGGGTGGGAGGGAGAGAGAAAAATTTGGAACTCAAAATCTTTCAAAAAATGTATGTTGAAAATTATCTTTACATCTAAGTGGAAAAAATAAAAAAATGCTCTTTCCCCCCAACTCCCTGCTAAAATTTAGGTAATCACTGACATTTAAGGCCCGATAACTAGGGGTGTACCTTCAAGACTTTGTCAGTCAATAAAAATTTATGAAGCACTTTCTAAGTGCCAAGTACTGTGCTGAGTGCTAGGGATACAAGCCCCTGACCTCAAGGAGCTCACAATCAAATGGGGGAGACAATAAGGAAACAAAAATGCCATATATAGGATAAAGAGGAAATAATTAAGAGGGAAGGCACTTTATTAAAGGTGATTGGGAAAGGCTTCCTATAGAAAACAGAATTTTATCTGAGGCTTGAAGTCAAGAGGTAGAGATGAAGAGCAAAAGAATTTCAGGCATGGAGGATGGCCAGAGAAAATACTTGGAGCTGAGGGATGGAGTATCTTGTTCCAGGAACAGTAAGGAGGCCAGTATTAATGGATTAGGTAGGAGGGAGTAAGGTATGACAGGACTGGAAAGGTAGAAGTGGCTAGGTTCTGGTTCAACACTACACAGAGAAATTTGTATGTGATCTTTAAGACAAGAGAGAAGCCAATGGGGAACAGCAAGAGGGGACGGGGTGAGGAACCATGGTTGGACCATACCTTAGGAAAATCACTTTGAGTGAATGAAGGATGGACTGGAGTGGGAAAAGCCTAGTGGCAGGCAGACCCACTGGAAGCTAATGCAAAAGTCAAGATCTGAGGTAGTAAGGGCCTGCATCAAAGTGGTGGTAGTATCAAAATTAGAAAGGGGTATAAGAGATGTTGCAAAGTTGAAATCAACAGGTCTTGGCAACAACTGAGGATGACACCTAGGTTGAATCTGAGGGACTGGGAGGATGATATTACCCTCTACATAGGAAGGCAGAGGCAGGAGGAATATTTGGGGGAAAAAAATGAGTTCAGTTTTTAATATAGTGAGTTTAAGATGAATAATGAACATACAATCCAAGATGTCTAAAAGTCACAGCAATCACAGGACTAAAATGACTAATAACTAAAAATCATTGCTACTGTATTCATCCTGTTACTTGCTCTTGATTCCATCTCTTATTAACGTTTTTCAAAAAGCTAAGTTAATTAGAGAGTTCCCAGGACATCCATTTATGGTCTCTTTAGACAATTCCATGTTTTTTGAAGTCTCTTCGTCCTAAATACATTATGACCAGATTTCTACCCATAACATCCTTAGACAGTACTATGGTGAAAGTATAGCACTTATCCTAGATCTTTCCCAATGGCAAAGAAAGGAAAACGGCTAAGTGCTTTGCACATAGAAAGTGGTTAATAAATGCCTTTTCTTCATTACCACCACCACCATTTTTAGTGCCTTTCCTTTCATTGTAATTTCCATCATCCAGGCAGAAATCAGGGCAGAGAGACAACATGTCAGAAAGAAGTTCTCTTACCTACCTTTCACCACTTAGATACACCACAAATAAATGTCCATCTTAATTACTTAGTTTTTTAATCTTTTCTCCATAATTATCAACCTTTATACCTTTTCTGGGGGAATATCCCCATAACTAAATTTCAGGCTCAAATCCTTCTTGTTGCTACCAAACCTCCTCCCAGAAGCTTATTTTGGTTCTTATGAGTTATACAGAAGATCTTCTGGGGCTAGAATTTCAATTTTAAAAATTCTTTGAAACATGGAATCTCATAGTTGAAAAGGCTCTTATTAATTATAAAATCTAATTTCCTATCCAAAGCAGGATTCCCTTCTATTATATTACTGACTGGTCACCTAGCCTCTACCTTTGGATACTTCGAGTGACAGGGAGCTCACTACTTAACAAGACACTCAGTTCAAGACATTCTGTTCCACTGTTAAGAGAGCTACAATTGCTGGAAAGTCATTTTTTCTATTTGTATGAGCTGAAATCCACCTTGGTGATATTCATCTATCACGTCCTAACTCTGACTTTTAAAGCAACACCAAACTAATCTAATCCCTCTTCCACCTATCTAAAGATAGCAACTTTCTGTTATGTCTATTGCTTCTTTAGACCAAAGAATCTAGTTCTTTCAACCATGCCTCACATAAGATGGTTTTGAAACCTTCTGCTTTGTTGAATTCTACCTTGTTGCAAAGTACTAGAAGAAAATATCTTTTTTTTTCAAACAGGGAAGTTGGTCTCCTTAAAGATATTTCTCACTAAAATACGTTCAGTCACCAGGAAAAATAGTATGATTTATTGTCAGCTGACAAGCACAGCCAAGGCAAAAGTTGACTAAATCAGTTTCTTGGGCTGTGTGTGCTGGATTAAGCTAGTAAGAAAATACCAATACATTTTCACAAAATGTATACAAAACATAATTTTACCTTAGGCAAGAAAATAACCTAAGCCAAATTCCTACTATTACAACAACACAGCACTAACCATACTACTAGAATTAAGTAAGCATTAAAATTCCACTGGCTTGAGGACACTGTGGTGGAAAGATCACACTGGATTCTAAGAAAGAGCTTCTCCGCCATTTAAACTTCTATGACCTTGGGCAAATGACTTTAACTCTCCACTCTCAGTTCCCTCATCTATAAAATAAGGTAATCAGAAGATCTATTCAGATACTTTCAAACTCTAAATTTACTGAACATGTCTAAAGTCCATTTTAAGCTTATATATACATACAAATTTAGACACTAAAGTTTTCAAAATAAACAGCTTTCTGAATAAAAAAAAGCAACAAAAAATCTGTAATTTTATTAAAAATCCAAGCCTGGGGAAAAAAATAAGGCCTCTATAACTAGTTTTAGATTGCAGGTGTTTTCCTTACCAACACAGAATAGGATGGTTGTGGGCATTATATATTGGAAAAAACATCACTGGTGCTCTCCTGCAGAGGCCAAGACATAATAATAAAGTAATCTCTTCACTCCTGAAGAAAGAATGTTATGTGACATACTGTGCACAAACTGCACTGAAGAAAAGGGATTTACTGAATTTCACAGGATCATATTAAGAGTTATCAGCAATTTCAGACACTACAGCTTCAATTGCAATTTAGTTGTAATGAGGGGTTGGATTAAATCTGTACATGTCTTCTACATACATTATTTACATGTTGTTGCCTCAGTTAAAATGTACCCTCCTTGAGGGCAGGAATTGTTAAAAGTCTCTGTCTCCCCAAAGCTTAGTGACTGACACTGGCTGATTGGCAGACTGGATGGGCTCCCCACAGGACCAGAGATGTGCAACGACAGGTGAGATACAGACCACGGATCTCTGCCCTAACAGGCAGGGATAGAGAGGAGGCAGGTTGGATGGACGATTCTCCCATATTGGGGAGACAAAGGGCGAGGGCTAGGGATGTGCATTTTTTAGAGGCTGCCTTATTAAACAGTAGCAAGCAGCACCTTTTCTCAAGCCATTTATATAGGAGGCAACAACCCCGATGCCCCTCCTCCTCCAGGCAGGCTACACCCCCCCCCCGCCCCCCTGACGAAGAGATGGCTTCCACTGCAGGATCGTCGCTGTAGCCGTCGTCACCTCCATCTTCCAGGTACCCACGCAGTGGAATCGAGGCTGGGGAATGGGGGAGGGGGTGGATCTGGAAGCCAGGCTGGGGCTGGAGGGAGGAGGGGAGGGGGATCTGGAAGCGAGGCTGGGGACCTGGGGGTGTGGATCTGGAAGCGAGGCTGGGGACCTGGAGGGAGGGGGAAGGGGGATCTGGAAGCGAGGCTGGGGACCTGGAGGGAGGGGGGAGGGGGATCTGGAAGCGAGGCTGGGGACCTGGAGGGAGGGGGGGAGGGGGATCTGGAAGCGAGGCTGGGGACCTGGGGGGGGTGGAGCTGGAAGCGAGGCTGGGGACCTGGGGGAGTGGATCTGGAAGCGAGGCTGGGGACCTAGAGGGAGGAGGGAGGGGGATCTAGAAGCGAGGCTGGGGACCTGGGGGGCTTGGATCTGGAAGCGAGGCCAGGGACAGGAGGGGGGAGTCGAGGGATACGAAAACGAGGCTGGGGACAGGAGGGGCAATTGGGGGGGCGTGGTGGTTGCAGGAGGCTCGGACAAGGTCACGAGACTCTTGTCAGGTTCCACCTCCCCCACCTTTAGACCCCTCCCAGCAATGACAGCACTGCGGCACCAGACCGCAGGGCCACTTCCCCCTTTTCCCTCTGCCAAAGGACCAGAGGATTCCCCGCCCCACCCCCACCCCCACCCCTTCCTCGGACACAGTCCAATCTCCCCCACCCCGCACAGGTTGCTCTCTCTATCTACAAGGTGCTCACTCCCACGCTCCTTCATCCATCCCCCACCCCCTGCCTCTTTCCCTCAGGCTCCTTCTACACACCTAGTCCCTCCACCTCTATCTACTCTGTTCTTCCCCGCCCCCCTCCCTTCTCCTTCCCGGGTCTGCGTGAGCCCGGACATCCAGAGGCACACTGTGGCCAGGGGCCCCCTCAGGTTCCCCACAACGACTCGGGGCTCCTTACCGGGAAGGAGCAAAGCCAGAAGGGCGAGCGCAGCCATGGTCATAAACCGGCAGCGGCGGCAGCAACAGCGCGAGCAATGCCCGCAGCCGCAGCCTCCGAGCCTAAGAGGAAAGAGGAATGACGTTTCCCAGATCCCGCCCCCCGCCTTTCTCTGCTTTTTCGCCTCCTCGCACAGCCCCCCAGCTGATTCCGCTGCCACGCTCTCCGCCAATCAGCTGTAAAAACCCGCCTCCCTGTGGAGGCGCAGCTTCCTTTGGGCCGGGAACGGGGGCGGGACCTTCAGTGACTGACGGGGAATATCAGCCAATGGGAGGGAGTAGCTGGTTTTTTCTGGGGAAGCCACGCCCCTATGCTGATCTGCAGTCACGGGGCCCTGGGTGGTAGAGCCTGCCTTGGGGAAGCTGGGGTGGGTGCAAAGGATTGATTGTTTCTCCAATGCCTTCGTCTCTCTGTCTTCTTGTCGCAGACCTCTGTCTCCCATCCCCCGTCAATTCCATTATGTAACTCAGCAAGCAGATGCTAACCAGGTTTAGCTAAATGCAGAAGGATTTAGACCGTCTTGGCTCTCACTCTGCGGGGTGGGGGAGGGGAGAGGGAGCTGAGCTGAGCTGGCTTAGTGCTTGGTTGTGGAGGGCGCCGTGCATTCATCCCCTAATTTGGTTAACAACCTGGGTTGCCCTCCTTGACACCCCACTCTCTCACACCTCGCGGTCCCATCTCCAATCTGTTGTCAAGACTTGTCGATTTCATCTTTGTAAGATCTCCCCAATACGCCCCCTTCTCTCCTGATACTACCACTGCCCTGGTGCACCCCATCGCCTTATGTTTGGACGATTGCAGTAGCCCCAGCCTCAAGTGTCTCCCCACCCCAAGGGATCTTTCTAAAGCGCAGGTCTGACCGTGTTTAAACCCTTTCCCCCACCCCTACCCCTCCTCCCAACAGCAGCTCCCTATCATCACCAGGATTAAATAGAAAATCCTCTGTTTGGTATTCAAAGACCTTAATAACCTTTCCCCTCCCTTCCTCCACCTTTCCAGTCTTCTTACACATTAACTCCACATAGTATTGGGTTCCTAAGGGGTTGAAAAATATTTCTTCTCTAGTGACAGGTGGCATCTGCAGCTTACAGTGGACTGCAGAGAGCTAGAGAACTGAACAGAGTGATGCCCATCTCTACAGCTGTACTGATCTTGTCAATGCCTAGAGTAGGTGGTATTAGGCTATCAACCTTGCCAATGTTCTTTTCCCTATTCCTGTAGCTGAGATTAGGCAGTAGTTTGCTTTTATCTTGAATGAGTTGAGTGTTCAAGCCTGAAAGAAGCCTCCCTCCCTTACTAAGGGCATTCGTGTATACTACTACATTGATGACATAATGTTGACCAGCCCAGATGAGGACATGGTGGCAGAATCCCTAGATCAGCTAGAGCCCCATATGAGCAATAAGGGGTGGAAAATCAACCCTAAGAAAATCCAGGCTCTAGTCTACTCAGTCTAGTTTTAGGGAGTACAGTGGGTGAGGAAAACCCAAAGGATTCCAGGCACAGTCTGGAATAAAAATATTGACACTTGTTTCCCCACTATCTAAAAAAGAAGCCCAGAGACTTAACTGGATTCTTTAGCTTTTGGAAAGTCAGTGTTCCCTCCCTGGATATTCTGATGGCCCCCATTTACCAAGTCACTCACAAGTCTGTTTTTCAGTTGGAGTCCAGAACAGGCTACATCCCTGGAAGATGTAAAGCAGGCTGTCCAACAGCCTATTCCCTTGGGTCCTTATTATCTTGCAAGGCCCATCTCTGTCCATAAAGATTAGCCTGGGTAAAGCCTTTGGCAGGCACCAAGGGATGACTTAAATAAGCCACTATTAGGTATTTGGAGCTCCGAATTCCTCAAAGCAGCCACTCGCCACACAGCTTTTGAAAAGCAGGTGCTTTCACATGTATAATTGTCAAGGTATGGGAGGGAGGGAGAGAATTTGGAATTCAAAATTTTTAAAAATGAATGTTAAAATTTTTAAAAATGTAATTGGGAAATATTTAACAAAATAAATAAAAATATATTTAAAAAAAATGAAAAGCAGTTGCTTGCCTCTTGCTAGACCCTAATTGCTATTGAACAGATAACATCAGGTCATACAGTCACCCATTGTCCAGAATTACCTAGTATGGGTTGGGTGATAACAAGATGGTTTTTTTAGTAAGATGGGTAGAGTGCAGGAGGCTTCTATTGTTAAGTGGCAAAGGTATGTTAGAAATCACACTTGTCTGGTATTCTTGTTCTTCACAAACAGGTGAAGACTAAGAACTGAGGTTGTTGGATCAGGCCTTGGAACCCTGCCTCTTCTGTTGACTCAGTGGGCTCCCAGCTGTAAAACCTTAGTTCCTGAGGAGCAACTTTTTGTCTCATTAATTGATTATCTCATCTGCCACAAGAGAGACTTGCAAACTAGACTGCAACAGTCACTATCTGGTAATAGGAGATATTGTAGACAATAAGGTTACTGGTAAGTCCTATTTGGCTGAGCTCCAGGTTGCATGACTGGCATGTTAGAGACCCTTGAAGGATAAGGCAGGGAAGACCATCATCTATACTAGTTCCTGGGTAGTGGCCATGGGTCTAGCCAAGTAGTCTGGGGCCTGGAGAGGACAGGGCTGGATGATCAAAGGTGAGAACCTTTAGAGTCAGGACCCCTTGGGGTCAAACCAATAAAGGAACTTTGCCGATGCCTCCCTCTGCATACAGTTGTTTGTGAAACTTGTCAGCTCCCATCAGAGATGTGTGCTCAATAATCAGGTTGGAACTGTTACAAAAGTAGCAAAAGCTGGGGATTAGATCCAGTGTCCATTTGGGTGGTTATATCATCCTATGCTGGGCAAAGGACCCCCTCACTACAAAGAAGGCAACTGTTCCTAACTCGAGTGTCCCTCAACCTGTCCCCAGTTGGCAAAATGATGCTCTGTCATCACGGGGTAAAAGGTTAGTTCCTACTGACAAACAGGTGCATCATTAAGCATTTGACAGCCCAACCTCCCAGAAGCCATGACCATGACAAATTGATACTACTCTGGAAAGGGGAAGAGCTTCTTTGTCCAGTGGTTTCTTGGATCCAGTCTCCAGGAAGAATGGATTCCTGATAAGAATGGACTATTTTAGAACATAGTTCTAGCTGATTCTCTCTAGCCCTTCTTGTTCCTTCCCCAGCACAGAATTGCCTTGGCCTCAAGGTCCTTGTCCCCTCATAAGACTTTATATACCCTGGAGAAGTAGCCCAACTGCCCCTCAGTTGGCGGACTTCTGTTTCACAGGTAGACACACAGGTAACCCCATTTATTGGGTAGGAGAACACAGGAGGGCTTCTAACACAAGTAGGAGAACACAGGAGGGCTCCTGTGTTCTAGCACAGGTTCTCTTCTGATCTGGTCAGACAGGAAGACAGCTTTCGAGGGGTTAAATAAACTTACTTTGTTCCAGTTTAGTCTTTTCAAAAAGGTTACTGATAATGGGAGCACCAACTCATACAGCATTCCGTAATCACATTTCTCGAAGGGGTGGGCTAGAATGGTAGGACCTGCAACTCCTATCTCATTCCCCTAAACCTCAATGGGGGCCAGTTGAGGCAAACACACAGATTCCCCTCAAGCCTTGATGGGAGCCAATCAAGGCAGGTACATCCATTCTTCTATGCATTACCCAAATCCCAAAAATGGGTTCCCCCCTTACTGACCAGTGCCCACTTGTATAGGACAACAGACAAAGAAGGCGTCTAGCCAACATTAAGCTCACATGTTAACTTTAGCAATATGTCATGACCTAGCACAACTCAGACATACGTTATGTCACCCCTATATCTCTACTACAACTGCTCAGTAGAAGTTGTTTTCAGTCATAATTTTTGGGAAATATTAGCTAGAATCTTGAAACTATTATATAAAAAGAATAACAAAATCCTCTTTACACACACTAAAATCCACCTTACTTACAACTTCCTTTCCTTTGGGATGGTTCAAAGAACTTTTCCCTAGAAATCAGTTGGGAGAACAAGAGGTGGTGTTGTTGGGAGGCATCTTGCTTTCTAATAGCATGAGGGAGGTGAAACTGTCACTATATAACTGGTGAGTACGTTTTTCCTCGGAAGAAAGGAGATGCCTTAGTTGACTTGGTGTAATTCTGAGTCACTGCATGAGGGTGAGGGAGAGTCTTTATTTAGCCACTATAGAAGAAAGGGGTAACTCCTCCACTGAGGCATCTAAGCGGGTAAAAATTTTCTATCAATCCCATGATGGAGCTCTCAAGGAGGGGGAGGTTTGGCAGGTGGACCAGGAAACACTGAGTGATTAGGTGGTACTGGGAGAACCTCAGTATCAACTTATATCCTGGGACAGGTTGCATGCAAGAGGTTTATTGACTTCTTAGCCACTTTACAGATGACCCTGATACAGGATGAAAAATTGGCAGTCCCAGAAGTGTGAATCCTCCCTCCTTTGGAAGGACCAAGTCTCAAGTTTTTTACAGGTGAATCTTCCTAGCGCAGGTAGTACTAAGGTAAAATGGGGAAATAGAAACAAAAGAAAAACAAAATGTAGAGAAATACAAAATCCAGAAGTCCTTCAAAGGAAAGATGATATTCCTGGATCTGCTCCTGCTCATCATCACCACCTCACATCAGGAGAAGAAATCTTCAATCACACCAGAGGTATTATATTGTGTACTGTTGCTCTGACGTTCTTGGTACTGTTCTGGTTTATCACCACTTTGTATTAGGAGTGAAATTCTCCACTGTGAATTTCAAAGATGTAGCATCACCCATCATATGGACCAGACTGTGAGACTTAGAGACTTAGTTTTTTTTGAAGGAAGAAGGAAAGGCTTAGGACTTCTGGCTTTTGTATTCCCATACATTTTGGTTTGTTTCTGTTCCCCACTTTTACCTTAGTACTGCTCATGCTAGGAGTACTCTCCTGTAAAGATTTGAGACTTGGTCCTTCCAAAGGAGGGAGGAAAGGCCAAGAATTTCTGACATTGCTCTCCACATTTTTGTTCTGTTTTGGTTTTGCTTTGTTTTTATTTGTTCCTTTTTCCCTTATGACAGGACTGTCATTTAAATGGTGGAAAGTCTAC